TTGATAATTAGGTTCTTACATTTCACTTTCTTTAATGAGTATAAAGGTGGTTCAAAATAAATATTATGCACCTTAAAGATGAAACCATGTTTCTTCTGAAGTACGAGGGGTGATCAATAAGTAATGGACGCTTTTTTACACAGATGCTTTTTATAGACCAATCCCTTCGATTTTCTTACCAGTGATACATCATTCAATTATCTATCAACTCTGAGGATTTGAAGACAATAATATAATACATGTTGATATATCCTTATGTCCGTGAAGGAGGTACAGGTAACCCGGGACCGACATTTACGTCAGATATTCTGAAGCTATTTTAGATTGTTTAACGCAATGCAGTTGAATGCTGGCTGAACAAAACAAACCATTATGGTCATGAATTACCCCATTTTGTTATGCTATAGTTGATTTTGAATATTTTATCATCACTATGTGGTATTCATGCCACATTCATTCCACAGGGCCCTCTAAATAGGTTCCATCAAGTGCTACATGTACACAATTCTTCATCCTCTTAACTCAAGATTGTGAGACAAGGCTGAATCCATTCTCTGACATGGTAGCAAGATGCAGTTGCACGGGTTGTTTTATTTCATCAATGTCAATAAACCTGCGTCCTTTTTCTATAGAAATAAGTATTATAGAAATAAACAAGTCACATGTGAGCAGATCTGGACAATATGGTGCATTGGCCAAGGGCTCAATTTTGAGGTCCAGGGATATTGTTTTCTGAACATTTTGAGATCTGTAGGCAGGTGCATTGTCCATATGGAGGAGGTTGTTCCCTTCTATCACCACCCCTTTCTTCCACAATGCTTTCTCAAATAGACCTGCAAACCCCTTCCATACAACACTCTGACATTACAATACTTTCTGTTTATGCGTTACCAGTCCAGAGCTGTCAAGTGTCCCGCGAATTTGATCAAAATTAGGCTAATTCGTGTGTCCCGCATTGTCCCGCGAAGTCCCGCAAAATGTAGCTTTGACCTCCGCGAATTTCCGAAATTGTTGCAATCCCCTATATTTTGATTATCTTATCTTATATAAGAAGCTAAGTTTTTGCACTTTTGAGGAGTAAAGTTTACCTAATTTTAAGTACCTAGCATGCTGTTGTTTGGTATCAAAATAAAGGGGAAGGGTTCAACTTTCATTTTAATTACGAAAATAGGGATGTAGGTCACAAATAGTTCCAACGTTGGCCTTTCAGCCTTTTAATTACCCGTGTGGCCTTCATCTCAGAACTGAGCAAATGTTAGCAAACGCGAGTTACAATAAATGTACGCTGATATCTAGAAAGGCTTTGTATAAAAAACCGGGTACCGGGTAGTAAATCCTCCATGCTTGGTTCAAACTTGGTACCCGGTCAAAAAACGGGTACCCAAAAAACGAAAAATACGAATATATAACATAATTAGATTATGAGAAAACGTGTAAGATTTGTTTTGAATTTGCAAAAATGTATGTAACATGATTCAAAATTGAGCTAGAAGCTTCAAATAAAAAGCATATTTTAAGGCACTTTTCTTCCTCTATCGTTATGGCCATATTTTCATTGGTTATGGGGGGGGGGTGCGATCGCACCATCGCACCCTCTCCTGGCTACGCCTATGACATTGTAAGACATAACAATTTACAATTCAGTGGACATTTTGTCATAAATTGGGATAACTTAAATTATGATTAATAATCAAAATCTTACACGTTGCATCATGCAAATTAACACACGTCACCTCTCTGCTAAAGCAACGATAGCTATTTACAGATTTAAATCATAATCAAAACAATTCACGTACCAACATACGAACTATTGAAAATAGAGTAAGATTGATTTGTCTTGTTTTTCAAATCGTCTTACAATGTCATTGGCGTAGCCAGGTGGGGGTGCACCCCCCCCCCTTCATTACCAATGGAAATATGACCAAGATGATAGAGGAAGAAAAGAGCCTTAAAATGCTTTTTATTTGAAGCTTCTAGCTCAATTTTGAAGGAAGTTACATACATTTTTGTAAATTCAAAACAAATCTTACACGTTTTCTAATGATCTAATTATGTTGTGTATTCGTATATTTCGTTTTTTGGTTTTTTTTCGACCGGGTACCAAGTTTGAACCCAGCATGGAGGATTTACTACCCAGTACCCGGTTTTTTATACAAACCCTATCTAGAAAATTAACCTCATTCCCTATAATTTGATGTAGATTAATCGAACCCCTATATCATGGGCTTTCAATTGAAAGCCCATGCCTACAGTATATGAATAGGTACATTTTAATTTATTATATACCTCAAATGTATTCTTGATGCTCATTGGCTTATTCATGGTCACATGACATGGAATAGATGAACTAATTCCCTGGAAAGTCCTAAATCCCTGCTTTCGGGGAAGATGAATTGTACTAATCACCAGTTAGGCCATGTGACCAGTCAATAGTACATTTTATCTTCCCCAAATCTGAGATTATAGGAGTTGAAAGGTAAAATGCCTTTAAATGCCAATAAGAACCTGTGAACATTTGATATTGAAATGAAAAGACTTCTCATTTTGTTTTTGTTTACAGAGTAATTATCAGGTATATAATAAAACAAATAGTGACTGCCACATTTTCGGGAAATAGTGTAAACATTTTCCTCTCGGGAATATCCTGTCCACTGACATGTCAGTGGACAGGATATTCCCTTGAGGAAAATATTTTGCACTATTTCCCTCAATGGCAGTCACTATTTGTACAATATAACATTATGGGGGTAAGCGTTTCATAGTTGGTCACGACGCCAGAAGTGCAAAGTATTGTTCCGAATTTTTGAATTTCGTGTTAGATTACGGTAATCACACCTGAAGCATGGTTTTTGTTTTTGATAAATTACAATAAAGTTTAATAATATTCCTATGCGTATTTTGTGAAATTGTGTTGACGTTTATTTAAGTTACAATGTAACGGTGCATTATATTTGATTAATCAGTATCTGAAAGTTTGATTTAAGTACTTTTTCACGCTTTTACATTAGTCCTAATCACGCAAATCCCTTGAATGTCCCGGGACATCCTGCAAATTTAGGTGGATGTCCCGCGAAATCCCGCAAATTTAGGGCACTTTGTCTAAAAAATCTGTCCCTCTATGAAGTTTTTGGTGGTACACCTGTTAACTGTCCCGCAATTAGGGTGTTTGTCCCTCGAATGGTCCCGCGAAATCCCGCGAATTTGATAAAAAAAATCTCCTATTAGCGCAATCACGCAAATCCCATAAATGTCCCGCAAAATCCCGCGAATTTAGTAGATGTCCCGCAAAATCCCGCGAATTTTGGGCACTGGGTCTAAAAAATCTGTCCCGCGAGAAAATCTTTAGGGGTTGACAGTACTGCCAGTCAGCAAAAAAATTTAAACAACACAACACTTGTTGTATATGAAACGTTCAAATCTAACTGAAATTTACCAAACTGGCTAAAAACTGAATATGTGACGTAAATGTCGGTCCCGGGGTACCTGTACCTCCTTCACGGAAATAAGGATATATCAACAATATGTATTATATATTTTATCTTCAAATCTTCAGAATTGATAGATAATTCTCGAAATCGCTGTTCCCTCTTCAAAAGAGGAGACGCGAAAATCTTTCCTTATAAGGTCAAAATATTTCCCATGATGCAGTTCGCGGAGGAACAAATTTATACTTCCTTGTTTTCCCTCATAGGTTTAACATGGGGATTTTCAGACCTATTTTTCAAACGATATATTCGTTCATATTCCCGTACGAGGGTACAGAAAAAATTATTAGAAACGATTGATCTCTTATTAATCTTAATATAACAGCTATTTCTTTCATTGTATTGATTCATAGCGTGGTGGAAACGATGATTGAAAAGTGAGAAAATATTCCGGAAGAGAAGGTCACATGATATCAGTTGATTAGTCGCCATATTGGAAAAAACAATTCCATTCGACTTTCAATACTTTCATGCCAATCTTACCGCACTACAAACTGCAACATCGATGCAACAACTGAATAAAAGTATTCATCTTCAAATTACATCATAGAGTTACGTTGAAAACCTACAAATAACTGAGCAGTAGACCAAAGAAGAAGCGTCGCTATTATCTAGGTCACTCTGTTCAGTGGTCCGAAAGCAAAGCTATAGTACTCGTTTCCGAATTTTGTTGTTCATTCTACAATCTTTTATTGATTAAACTCGGTATACTGACTATTAAAGCAATGACAAAGAAGAATAATTCCGATGTTATCATTGTTTTATTTAGCGTTCGGGTGTAAAAACAAAATTGAGTAATTAGTTTGATTTAGAACTATCGGTCACGCAAATTCTACGCGAAATGCATAGTGAGAAAATATTGACCAATCAAATTTTGTCCTTTTTGAGTGCTTTTTCAGTACATATTTGCGAACGTTCTGATTCAAAGAGCGAATCGCGAAAGGGAGAATTGAATGATGTATCACTGGTAGGAAAATCAAAGGGATTGGTCCATAAAAAGTATCTGTGTGAAAAAGCGCGTCCATTACTTATTGATGACCCCTCGTAAATAGTCACATAAATCTGTTAGAAAATTCTACAACTTTATCTTACTCCCTCACCACAGCCCCCAAAGTTGGACAATTCGGGAAAACTGGCAGAAAACATTCAATTCCTAGGTTCAAATTAATAATGCATTGGGATTGAACATTAATTAGTATCCAAAAAACCACTGACTTTGCTTGATATAACAATATGAAGATTTCAATTATTTTACACTCAAAAGTATTTTATAATTTAGAACACTAGCCCATAAAATGTTAAAAGATGGTTATGGTCAATTTTATCATTTTGCAGCATTCAATAGAAGCATGTATCATTAGACAAAAGATCAATGCGTTCAAAACATTTTCACTGTAATTCATTCATTACTATAATATAGTATATAGGAGGCTTATATGGAGACTGCACATTTTATTTATATTTAAGTTTTATATCTAGTACATGTATCATAATGAAATCTAACGTTATCATACAGTAGGGAGGTTGGCATAGTCTAGACATTGACATAATGTCTAATTATAACAACCATTAATTTTTCACATCTGAGCAATCAGACTATGATGTTATCATGAATGAGTAAGTTCTATATGAACGTTTTATATTTTGTACATGTATGATAATGAAATCTAATGTTAGCAGGCCTATTCTACATACATGCACATTGCTTTCATTTACCGAGCGTTCGGTGTATCCAAACCAGAGATTTTCAGCAGGCCTATTCTACGTATATGTACGTTGCTTTCATTTACATGTATGTAATTTCATGATCAATAGCCTTTTGTGGAACTTTCCAAATACGCATGCCGAACGCATTTTTCATGTTTCTTGGTAGATTTTCTCGATTACCTCTACAGAAAAGGGATTTCAAATCCCTACGAAACTTCTGGCCAGTTAAGGCATAAATGTAAAAGTTAACAGCGTTGTTGCTGAGCCAAATCATCACAGTTGTTTTGTTTACCAAGAGACGACTTGCTTTACTCCAGGCATTATTTTCTGTGTAGATGAATGTCCCCATAACTTCCCAGATGTAAAACGGCGACGTGAGCACAATGAAGGCAATGGAGACGGCTACCAGCATACGTGTTACCTGCCGGGCCTGGTAAGACCTAAATCTATGTAACGTGTCCCCCATATCCTTTAGTTTGTCCGGCCTACTCGCCTGGGAGAGAGTGCGGACTATCTTTGCGTTCAATGCGACCAATACCACGCATGGCAAGATCGCAGTCAACGCCATTGATAGCCATGGGTACACTTTTGCGAGCAAATCCTCTGATGCGAATGTATCGCAAATCGCTATACCCGTCATTTTGTTTGTAACCTTGTTGCTGTACACATGGAACGGGATGTTGAACGCTGTCATGACTACAACGATACCAATGATAGCTTTCCATGTGCGACTTATTGATGAGTAGCGCGTTACGTTCATCGGTGACGTAACTGCCAAATACCTGTCAAACGTCATCGCTATGATGATGTAGACGGAGCAGCCATAATTAGTGATCGAGATGTATTTTCCCCATTTACAGCTCTCATTAGATTGTTTACAATTTTCAATATTTTGCAAAAGCCAGCGTAAAAGACCAGAAACGAGGAGCCCAATTGTGTCGAATACTGCCAGAGCTCCCATGTAGTGAATATAAGAGTTATTTCTATGATGCTTCAAACAGCTTACGCCGATGACAATGAGATTTCCTGGAATTCCAACACCAAGGAGTACGAGAGGCCAATAGAAATTAATGATGCCGGCTATTTTTAACTCTGGATAGACGGATGGGTCGAAATCACCTGTTTTATTGGTGGAATTCATTGGAGGTCTCCTACACATGTATTTGGGTTGTGGTTAAACGCAGCCTACGATCTCGCTATCTTGTTGCAAAATTAATTTCGTTCTGTAAGATATAAACGCTGCATCTAAAATTCAAAGTAACAGTAAAACAATCATTACATTTAGCGAAATGAATACTTTTGGTTCGCAGTTTTTGCACTTAGCCTTCTTTAATACAGGGTGGATCAAAAAACTTTACTTCTTATAAAATGTGAAATGTATCACAAAGACATTGAGGAAACGCATACTCTCATTTATATTCGTAAAGTTTCATTTTATTATTCGTTAATCTACGAATATTTCTTTGCTTTCTGCAATAATTTATGGGTAATTTGCAAGATTGTTATTCGTAAAAATATATTTCTGCATAAAATAACAGGCAATTTATTTGAAATTTACGAATTATAAGCTGTAGTTGGCGAATCATAAATTGTTAGTTACAAATATTTCCAGTCCTTACAAACATAAAATGGACCCGATTTAGGGATTTATTTGTCTACTTGTTACATCATATATGTATTTGTTACTTAGGCATTTTATTTGTAAACGTTACATAAATATTCGTGTAAGGGAATAATGAAGCAGTTATGACGCTATATTTATGGCAGTATGGTTGATCGGGTACGAATCTTAGAGACCAATAATCATCTCCAGGAGACAGGAATCTTTCCCAGTATTTCCACTTTTTAGACCAAATATCTAGGTACCTCTTGGTGACGCTCTTTCGTTTGAAAAATGTGTATAGCATTCGACGTGTACTTAAAAGCTAGCTTGGAAATATATTTTTGAAAAAGCACAAGCTAAATTGGCTTTGTATAAAAAAAAACTTCTACCTCATAAGCACCTACCCACGTACGTTGGACATGATACAGTCTTAGAAGGGTTCAATTTTAAAGATCTTTGTTTATTAAATCTTAGTTTATGATGAATTATAAGACCCTTGATAGCAAGTTGCTACTACAGCCCAGCTGGGTACGATTCCCACTCGGCATAGAATTTAGCACACTTTCTTTCAATTTCTTGATCTGGCTTGTTGGACCTATGCTCGCGGTCGTGGAGCGCCCTCGGGTCATTACACATTACAATGCACCCATATGTCTTTATTTATGGATCTGTCATCCGTCTAGTCATAACATAAAGCCGGAATAGTAGAAATATTAATAATTAGACCTATTTTGAGATTTAAAAATCTTTAAAATTGAATGTACCACGTAGGTGGGTAGGTGGGTATGAGGTATCGGGTTTTTATACAAAGCCAGCTAAAGAGCGAGGGAAAGTATCGCAACAGATTTTTGACAGTAAATAATTTTTTTCTAGTAGTTTCTGGCTGTACAAAAATGAATGCATATGAAAGGCCAATGTATAATCTTTAAGAAAAATTCAAAGAATGGTTTCAAGATCAATTGGATTATCTCATAAGCCATGTTTAATCCACCCATCAACAAGCTTTTTTTCAAAATACAATCGTCATTTTCACCATCGTCCCTCATTTTTTTTTACAATTTTCATGCAAAGTTACATTGTACTTGAACACATTTTTCATCACTTAAAATATATAAGGAACTCCTCGTGGATTAGGTTTATCATAATCCACTATAAGGGGATCCAATGGGGCTATGCTTTTAGTACAGCACACTCATATAAGATGTCATTAGTGTGCCATAAAGTTAGTTCAAAATGTTTTCATAAATGAATGGTTGGACTTGTTTGATCCCCTGCTGTTTGATCCCCTGTTTAATCAATGGAGCATAACCGCAGCATTTCCCAAAAAATTCTGAATACCTGTCATGTTGACTGTTTAATGTTTGAGTGCAGTTAAACCTGTGTGTGTGTGTAAGTTGCTAAGAAATTCTAAATACCTCTCTTTATGATAATTTCTATGATGCCTTATTATAGCATTTACTTTGAACAGGTTTTCTGTATCTTGTTTATCAGTAATGATTCACGGGGTACAGTGCTATTAAAATCATAAATACAGTACAATAATTTAGTACATCATACCTTTGCCAATAATTTTAGTAAGACAAATATTTTGATCCAGCTTCTGAAAAAACATTGAACATGTTTCTATATGATGATGTGTTATAACACACTTCCTTATTTGAGTTTATCTCCAGATTGATTATTCAAATAATGAAATGAAGGATGATATGCTAAGAATAATTTTTGCATATTCATCAATTCAAGAAATGTTATCCTAAGAAAATGTTATGAGTAACATACACTCTTACCTTAATGATAACATTAGGGAGATTAAGCTTGCATATAAAATCGAAACGCCAACCTATGACCAATCGCCCATACAAATGCATCGCTATATATTTTCCATTCACAGTTAGGTTGTGAAAAACATTGCAAGCTTAAAGTCCCTATTGAGAGTCTCTGAAAACCACAATCAATACCATTGAGTGTGTGGTGTATACTACCTTTATCATTATTTCTAAGATTTACAATAACATCTTTTTAGCAAAATGTCCGATTTTCTTCCATATTAATGTGAACAAATATAAACAAACATAGAATGATTCTATTGGTTGAGTCAACAATTTCAGTTATTAGGGAGGTTAAGATCGCACTATTTTGATGAACGTACACATGGAATGTGTAAACTTATGGTCCCCTATTCACGGTGTTATAGCATGACGGTTACGTCAAGGCAATTTGCAAAATTTTGCGGTAACAATAACAAAAAATGGCGGATGGGAAAGGCAGCATGTCCTCTTTCTCGCCTGTAGACAATATTCACAGATAAGATTTCCTTTTAAACTAGTTCCATTCGGTGACGTATATATGGATGGTATATATGAAATCTGCCAGGTGGTCTACAAGAAACAGAATATAATCTGTAAACCTACCGACTAAGATATCAAAGTTTATAAGTTTTGATCCATTCTCGTGTTGTCTCAGTACATGAGCCACTCAAAATATTAACTGTAAGTATAAGTAAACTGTGTATAACTACTGCAAATTCAAAATACATCATTATGGCTTGAGTAGAACATATTAGGTGGTTTCCAATGCTCAATTGGCTTTGTATGATCGTATGTAGGTTACATCTATATACCACAAGGTTTTTAAGCAATGTAGACCATGCCCTAACAACAAAAACAAAAATAAACAAATTACTAAATTTTTGTGTAGTTTTGAATTTCAAACTCACACTTTTTCTCTTATTTCATGTTATCCCCGGGCATCAATTTGCAAAGGCTACGTTCAAAATATACATTACTGAAAGTATCACCGAATGCGATTCTTGCATAAATCGTTCATCCTTTCATTGATACACAGAAGTAGAAAATAATGCGCCAACCTTAGTTTTCTCTTCCACCGCGGCCATTTTATTGGATAAATCAGTGAACGTAGCTGTCCAACCTCGTTTTCAGAGGTGGCGTAACCGTCATGCTATAACACCGTGCTATTGACTATTTTCACATCACTGGCCTCTTTTTGCCTGATTGATATAATGCCAATTGATGTAATGGTCCCCAGTTAAACCAGTTGAGAGATGGACAACATTACTGGGGGTCATAACAGTACTCGTTCATGTTCAAGTTCTCACACAAGTGTTTTACACAGTCTGTAGCCAGCTTTTACCAAGGGGTAGGTGCAGTTTTACCAAGGGCAACGCTTTTGCCTAGGGATGAACTTTTTGACAGTTTTGGCTAAAAGATCATGCGAAGTGCTCAAATTGGTGAGAAACTGCATCATTTTGAAAGAATCTCTTGGGGGAGCAGCAGCTCCCTTTATCTCCCCCCCCCTCTACCTGCCTACGAGCCTGTGTACTCAACCTCTCTAATGTTCATGATCAATACTAAATGTAAAATTTTCACATTTTTCATATTTCTACTATTCATATTGACCAATCCCCATTCATGTCATCTTAACAGGTCCTTAATCCCTTGTTTTCTAGTCGTATGTGCTTTTATTATTCAGTTTCACAATCTATTGTTTTGCCATGCCAGTTTTACATGTTTGCATGCTGAGTTTGTTTTATGTAATGCTTTTTGTTCCTTATATGGTTTGCACATTCACTCAGTTGAGTTGGGGTGTTGCCCCATTACTAGTTAATGTTGCCTAGAGTTTGTGACTGTACATACACAAAGTATTTCAAATATATATTTTAGAAAACATTTTATATTTGATTCCCACCCAAGGGTCTTCCACTCACCCATTAACATAAACAAAACATGAACTCTAATAAAAATGCCAACAAGACTGCAAGGGAAACTTAATCTATGAATTGGACTTTACCATATCACATGTATTAGTCTCGTGACCAGGGAGGGGGAGGAGGGGGGTTGAGAGACGACCCTCTCCCCTAGGAACATTTTCTGTCAACATCCTGCAATTTTTCACCACTTTACTTTTCAAGTGTTGTTCGGATGATGCTTTCATTTAATTGCTTGCACTGATGGTTTCTCTTGAAAATTCATGCACATAAGGTGATCTAGTATTTCAACACAGGACCATGAAAGCGCTATTTGAGCTTGAAGTAGAAGTATTCGTAGTATTACTGTTTGTATTATTAATCTCTATGATTTTTCAATAGGCTAACTCAGTCAGTGAATGCAGGATTAAAACACAACACACATGAGTAATTCACCCACCTATGCATGTTATTATTGAAAAACATTGCCATCTTTTACATCACTCCTAAATTATTTTTGTAAACATGCATTTTAAGAGGTTCATTTTTTCAAAAAAAAACTCAAAAACAAACTTCATGGAGTTCCTTACATATTTTACTTGATGAAACATGTGTTCAAGTACAATGTAACTTTGCATGAAAAATTGTAAAAAAAATGAGGGACGATGGTGAAAATGACGAATGTATTTTGAAAAAGCTTGTTGATGGGTGGATTAAACATAGATTATAAGATAATCCAATTGACCTGGAATCTATTCTTTGAACTTTTCTTGAAGATTATAGATTCGCCTTTCCCAAGCATTTACTTTTGACAGCCAGAAACTACTCACAAAAAATTATCAACTGTCAAAATTATCAAAAGTCTGTTGCGATACTTTCCCTGCTCCTTTGACTTTGTATATTTAAGGATGGGGCCTATCAAACATTGACTTGCTTAATGCATAACATGGTTACAAATACAAATATTTCACTTTTTGGACCACCCTATAGTTTGAAAACATCAAGGAATTGTGATGAAAATATGCAAATGTTTGTATAAATTCTGTAAATATTGAATTTTACTATTAAGAAAAGTTGACATCATGTTGACAACGATATTGACTTCGCTCCTTTAACTAGACTATCTAAGTATACTACAGGGAGACATGTAAATGAAGTTATTAAATGAATGATTTCTAAATAATAGATTAATTTACTTACAAAACTTCTCCCTGTATGCCTCAGTTTCGTATCGTATCTCTTGTTCGTTCCAAAATGAGATAAATAATGTCTTAATACATGAATATTGTGCTGTATTATATATATACTGCATATATAATTGGACTTGTTTGGTTGTGGTGCTCGAAGCTTATTGGTCAACTCGAGAGTCAATATGAAAAGAACACATGGTGGTCAATCAAAGAGGGAAAGCCTCAGAGTTCAGAGATGACCTAAACTTAAATGGAAATTTATAAAGATGACCGTCATCTCTAATAGGTCAAATTACATGTGGAGCTAACAGAAACAAAATGGTGCCATTCTTGCACAATTTTTTTTCAAAAATATTTTTCAACTTTTTTTCAAAATGGCAGGAGATATGGAGCTTCTGAATATGGAAACCACAAAATCAGGATACGGGATATATCTTACCAACTTATCTCTGTAAAACTCTACTTGGCATAAGATAAAATTTGTTATTTCACATCAAGATCATCACTCAAAATACTATTCTCTTTATTTAGACTTTTTATGACAATCTTATACCTATATTTTCAAAATTTATTATCAGAATGATCACGCCATTGGCCAATCCTTTCTTGATGCCTTTTAAAGATTTTCTACAATATTAATCAAATTTACATGCATGACATGATCATAACCCTAAGATTTTATCAGATTTCACATGCTCTTGGGCCCATGGGTAGATGCTCTTCAGAAACATTTAAGATAAAAAGTAGGCCTACTCAGGGACCTGGGTTATATTCACCACTCGCACAAGTTCATCAGAATTTTCATATGACTGAGTACATACCGCTCCTGGATAAAATTCTTCACTATAAAGTCAATGAGTTCATCATACATCACATGACTAAGCAGTTGAGGCACCAACTTAAAATTACATTTATAGAGTACATCAGATATCACATGACCTTGCCCCTGGGTAAAATTTGTCAACTGAGCAATGATTTGGAAGCCTGGGTACAAACCTCCTTTAAATAATGACAGGAGCTGGTTCAACTTGATTCTACATCCTTTTCATAATCTTAATCCTTTGATTTCCTGGTTGATATCATCCAACTACCGTAACCCCTCATTAAGTGTTTTCTCCAGTCACAAACATATGAACATTTTTGTCAGACTTAATCATATGACTCGCTCGCTCAGTTCCCACAATTCCTGCTAGTCTATGCATGTCATACTTTGAATAAATCACGGTACACGACAGATCAGAGTCATTTTGTCTTTTCCTGGGATCCTTCAAAAAGTTTGAGATTTCGCTGTAGAAATGAGGATATCGGGGCAGCTCGTAGCAAATCAGGTGTTTGATTCCACGAATACGGTATCTGAAACAGCGGAGAAGATATAACATTTAAGCCATACATGTTAGGTAGTATACTGGGGGCCATTTACAGAAACTTCTTAAAGTTAGGAATTCGTAAAGCCATTTGTTCCCTATCAGTGACATCATTATATCCATGGTTACAACAATTGATTTACGAATTCGAAACTTTACGAAGTTTCTGTTAATGACCTCCTGTATATTATGGAAAACATAATGCACAATTATTTGAAATTATGATTTTAACATTGAAACAGTTCCACAAAACTGAAAACGAAATGTGATTTGTTAAAAACAACTGGAGAAAATTGGCTGTTGCATGCTGAAATTCCTGACTGCTGACAGTTTATCTTACTATTACTAGTATATGGCCAACTCATTTAAATATGAATCGAATTGTGCCAGTGACTATTCATATTCAAATGAATTGGCCATAAAATAGTAGGCCAAACCATGGGCTTTCAATAGAGAGCCAGTAGTTGAATTCGCAAATGCTACCTGAGATACATACAAGTCATGTACAATTCAGGAATTGAATCTGGCCAATAAGTTTTGAAAATGTTTGAATAGATAGCTCTCGCATCCATGACTTTTACATTTCGCTGTAGAATAAGTAGTTTCTGATGTGACTAAAATAAACAAACCTTTATGTTTTACTTCAAGGTCTTGCAATATTTCAGTTAGAATTTGAATAGCTAGCTATAAACAAAATAAATTTATTCTAAGAGTCAAGATATTTGTGCACTCGTACCAATCATATTATATCTCTCCCAGGTTATTTTTGGGGCTTATCGCTCTATGACAAAACCACAGTGAGCAAAATTCAAAACATTCTGATCTTTGTGCCATCTTTTGGCAGTGTGGGGTTTTAAAAGCATGAATACTTTTTTGGCCTAAATATTCCGCTGTTTTATGATTGCTTCATACTGGCATATTATTAACACTATATGGATAGCAGAACAACTTATATGTTAGAATAAACAGTAAATCACAGATAAATATATCAGTAAAGACACTGACATCTATTAATGAATATGGAAGTCAAGTCAATTTTGAGAACTTGTAATATGTGAATGTGTAATACAGTACTTCATTTGCAGCCTAATACGCTAAGTGCTCTCTTTTCAAGCAATAAAAGAGAAATTATTAGAGGTGTCACGGAGCAACAAAAAATCGGAACTGTTTGGTTTGGAACATTTGGCTTCAGAATGGAACAATTTAAGAATGGTTCGGATTAGATTAGATTAATATAAAATGACCAGCTAGGTCTCTCTGAAAGCGTAAAGCTATTCAATGAGAATCAGTGAAAATATGAACTTCTTTCCATGCAAAAGATTGAAACAAAAATGCTGTTTTGTGGTGATTTCAAGACCAAAAGCTGTGAAAAGGTTACATTTCTTTGTTCCAGAACTGAACCAAAATGATGACTTTTTGTTCCGTGTCCTTTTCCGAGGGCCTAATTCTGCGGATCGGAACGAAATTGGGTATCTGTGACACCTCTAGAAATCATCTAATCTATAATTTTCAATCTCTAATCCCAGTCTCACTTGAAAAACTAAATTGAAATTCAATAGAGAGGACCCACTGAATGGAGCTATTTGGAAGATTTTAACCAATTTTTGCCATACCTGCGAAAGAAATGGAACCTCTCTGTATACAGTAAGAAGTGGATTTTCCCTTGGAAGAACTGTGTCCGTGATCTGGAGACACTCTTGTCACTGCTGTACCTGGAATTACATGGTATAAATGATCCATTATATGGAAGCTACATACATATTACTGATGTACACCTCCCTCCATAAGTTTGGCACTGGAGACACTCTTGTCACTGCTGTATCTGGAATTACATGGTATAAATGATTCATTATATGGAAACTACATACATATCACTGATGTACACCTCCCTCAATAAGTTTGGCAAATGAAGGCCCCCATTTGATAACGAGCTTTATTTATGTTCATTAAATCTTCATTTTGTTCCTCCATTACAAAAGATTGGAATGATGAGATTGTATAGGTTTTACATGTGATCCAAAATAAAAATTTTGGTTGGGAGTGTACATTGTGCCATATATTTGTATTGTATTGTATTATATTGTATTGTATTGTATTGTATTTCATTGCATTTATTTGTATTGCTTTTTTTGTGCCCCTCCAGTGAAGTTGAGCAATACCTCTCATTAAAGTTGTGATTCTTGAAAGAGTAAATAAACTTTCAGAGTTTTTTAACATTGTATCACTCAAAATCAAATCAAAGTTGCCTCAACAGGAAATTACACAGAGAAGTCAAAAATGCAATCAAACAGAAAAACAGAAAAAATGTTGATCTTTAATGGTCTCATAAAAAATAAACTTCAACAAGATTCCGAAGCTATTCAGGAAGCCCTCTATTATACATGTATCTACATTAGACTTTTTATGCCCTAAACTATTTAAGTGCTATCTATGTATATAGTAATCACATGTTTCTTTTAAAACATCCAGGCCCGTAGCCAGGATTTGCCAAGGGGGGGTTCATTTTTCAAATATTTCCAGGGGGGGGTTCACATTTGACAATTTTGGCCCAAATGTGGCTAAAATCACTTGACAAGTGCTCAAAATGGTGAAAAACTGCATGATTTTGAAAGAATTTTTGGCCAGGGGGGGGTTCGCCCGAACCCTGCAAACCCCCCCTGGCTACGGGCCTGACATCATTATATCTTTCTATTATGAAAGACCTATAGTGTGATAAAAGGTGGACTCAAATAACCTAAGGAAACACTTGTTTCAACAATTGTACATACAAGTGAAAATATATTTATCACATGTTTAATCCTTGAATACTGAATAGGTATACTATAACCTCACCATATCATGACCTGGGCTAAGATTCAGGGGACATGGCAAATCAATTATCTGTTTAGCAGTACCTTTCCAAATTGATGAAAAATCTGTGAAAACCTGAAAAGATAATGGCAAATATGTGACGAAATTCCTTCTTTAAATTATTTTACGAATTAAAAGTCTGAACGTGACAAGGCATTAACATGCAAAATGTCACCACCTGCCAAAAGACAGATGCCAAATGCTGACATCAAAACACCAACAGCCAAATGCCAAACACCAACAGCCAAATGCCAAACACCAACAACAGCAAAATCCAAAACACCATCCACAAAAAGGTAGGAAACAGTGACAATGTCATCACTTTTGTTTAAACGTTAATCTTGGTAGTGCATTCACAACATATATCAATTTTACATATATTCTGTGTTTTCCAGACCAACCCCTAAGGTAGGAGACAAAAGCAAATAATTAAATAAATGTAATAAAAACATGCCATGAGACTTAAGAACACACATAATACATACTTTCTATTGAGTTATATGAGTATGAAAAACAATTCATTTGAAAGAAATTTTAGTAAATCAACACTCATTAGATTTTTGAGGAAATCAAATGTTTATTTAATTTTGTGGTCATATTGAAATATGCCTTTGACTGGTTTAAAGTGGAAGAAAAGAATATACTTGTATACGTAGGGACAAAAGAAAGCCAGTATAAAATATGGCAAGTAATCTTTCCAATGAACAAATCAATGAAAACACTTGGATTAAAAGAATAAACAGGACAATTTTTTTATTGAAACCAGAAGATATGATAAAATTGTGACAATTCAAAATTTCGCTGCCCCTTTAAGTGGCACACACATATTAACATGGCCAGTATGACCTCCTTCATTTGTATAGTACCCAGACAGGCATACAGTCTTTTCACATTTATACTATGATTTCTTTTACATTTTATACGGCATCTATTTCTTTAAGTAAGCTGCCTAATGCCAAAACATGAACATCATGTAACCAGTCTATTAAATAAAAATAAAGAACAGTGCAATTACCATGGAAACGAGTAAATAAAGCATGAACATTCCATATTTGATTAATCCCAGAAATCACATACAGTGTTCACATTGATTGTTCAAGCCAGGAAGATGTATAATTGAAATAGCTTGGCCCAGTGATATTTTATGGGCAGGCTGAAATTGCATATTGATCATATGGGAGTCCCTGATAGCCAATATTGCAGATTAGACCCAGCTAGTATAATATCAATGTAAAGATAGGCTCCGTATTGACACTTATGTTCTCATGACACTCATATTGACACATATCACCACATGGATAACTACTACATCTAGAAGTTTATACAGGGAGCATATATAGCTATTGAAAGAACAAATAGTGGGATATAAAATACACATTAAAAGGTAGAGTATAATATATTGACATGAGAAAAAATTCTGAATAGCTTAAATATCCAATATGAAAACCTCATAGTAAATTGAGTACTGCGGACAGATATTAACACAGAAAATTATGAAAAGCAGGGCGTAGCCAGGATCCACAGACGAGGCTAACTTCATTAGGTGAGGCAAAGCTCATGCTAAAGAGGATATTGAGGCATGGTGTTCAGTAACAGTAAAAACTATTTTTCTTTAAAGTGCGCGCCTGACCCGGCTACGTAAAGCACAGAGTTTATACTGGCGGATTAGACTAGTTCATTTTTTATATGTGTGTGAAAGCTTTCTCTTATTTGCGTTTTTTCGTTTAGTACGGTTTTGTTATAATTGCCGAGGTCATATAACCGGGATAAAACAATGATTATCGTTGACTGCCCACACACAAAACATACGTTGAGTGAACAGTGTTATTACAAACAACAGGCTTTAGAATACAAAGCGTAGTGTGATAATAAGCTGTACACTACCACTGCTGCATGTCCATATTACTAATTTACTAGGGCTCCCAAAGAGTGGACAGGGAGGTTGTGTTTGTCACTTTTAAATTTTACATTTCAAAATTGTCATTTTTCATGTCATAATTTGTTGGTGTCATTCGTTTAGCCAATCAAAACATTGTAAAACAATAAATTGTCTGTTACGTACAATCAATTTTGTTCAGTTTTGATTAGTCGTCAGAATAAAGTTACGTTCATCTGAATCCATGTATCAAAACAAAAATCCTATTTTCACTTCAAAATACTTCAGTGAGATGAAGGCTCGGAATTGTCACATGCAATAACTTATTGTCGTATTCGTTATTTTATTTTCTCGATAGTAGCATTTAGTCACACATTTGATGCCAGGTCACCTTGTCGCATACCTCTTGGGGAACCCCACATTTATGTGTGTACTCATGGAAGTAAATTCCCCGGTGTAGCCGAGAGCCACAAACTTTTCAACAGGTTCGAAATTACCAATTTCTCTCATATACAGTGTATACTCTAAATATTTTATTATTTAGCACCTACAAAGTATTGCTAATAACCATATGTAATTTCAATAAGGAAACTTATCTGGCTACATATAAATTCAATATCAACACTAGCTGTTCTCTCAACACGTCCTGGCTTACCTTGTGGTGACAAACCCTGGATTTCTGCTATTTATAGTTTATCAACACCTGGACGCATGCGCATTTTATAGTTTATCGGGCACTTTAAATATATTTTTCTCAAGATAAGATGTCTCTTCAAAGATTTTTTGTAAAATTCTCTCTAAACTTAGAATGCATCCATAAAGATGAAAATAAGCTATTAAGTAGTCAATTAGATCAAACATAGTTAAATTAGCACAATCCTTTTTGTGATTAAAATTATTAAGATTTAATGACGTTAACTTTTAAAGTCTAAAATAATTCATATACTCATCTTAAATAATTCATACACTCATCTTAAAGGTGGAAATAAAGAGACATGACATAAATAAACATAAAGATACTATAAACATGGTTAATATTTTTTAAAAGTTTCATGTGGATATTTAAACATTATTCATACAGTTTTATATCCAATAATTAGATTCATCATTTTAATTGCCTAATTATGAGATTTTTAAAATTCAACAATGTATGAAAACCACAAATATAACAAGATCGAATTTTGTAAATGTGGTGATCGAGTTAAACATTTTTGTTTCCTCTTAAACAATTGTTTTTGAAGCCCGGTGACCTCATTTCCTCAAGGGGAGGGCATGTAGATGTCAGGATGGGGGGGGGGGGGGGTCTTGGTTGACACAAGACAGGAATTTTAACTAATTACAGCATAACCAGATAATTTCTACTGTTTATCTGAGCTAATTAGCATAATAATTTTTAGCTCAAACAATAATTTTTGTTTTCTTTTTAATGCTTTTTAATTGTAAAATGAATGTTCTCGAATGAAGGCTAAAGTTTGCACTTCTCTAATTCCCCCCAAAAAACTAATATTTCTCTAATTATCACAAGTCCCTGGATTTCTCTTACCCTTTTGAAAAAGCCATTAACACTTTTGAAAAAGATTTTATACCTAAGACTGGGGGGCCATTATACCCTAGACCCAACATTGAAAGATGAAACTTTAAAACTGGTTTAAAAACATGAGCTTCTTAAAAACCCGTATTCATTACTGCACCAGTACCTTTTGAGGCTCTTTACCTTAAGTATCGAGGGCCCTTTTAACCTATCTCAATGGGCAACTCACACAGGCACCTGGTTTAAGTAGATAACAAAACTACTATTAAGATAACATTTTCTGAGCTATTAACTTAAAGGAAAGTGTACTTGACATGCGAAATCATTGAAAACCATCATAATTTAACATGTAAGTGGGGAGATCATGTCAAAATGTAATTGGTAAATTGGTGCTTATCAATAGGTTTGATAAGCACACTAGAGAGATAGTACTGGAAAATAACACCACACAATAAGCAATATTAACCTATAGCACTGGTTAACAAAAGCAGATCAAATAAATATTTTTCTAAAATTAAAAAAAAATTCCATAACCTACATAGGGCAATAGTAAGGGAAAGCCAGGAATTAAAATTAAGCAAGACAAATATAAATAGGTGAGATGAATTTTATTAGAAGGGGACATAGGCTAATCAATGCACTTGATTCCAAATGTTTCAATTGTAAAGAAAAACACATTCATAGTTTTCTTTGAAATTTTAGAGAGGCAATCACCTCTCCCTGCTGAGGCAATTGCCTCGCATGTCTCACGCTTGACTACGCCCATGCTACAGAACAACTAGATAAATATTTAAGTAAATCCTAAAGTCCTAAATTCAATTTTGAGAAAAATACAGATATATATCTATATATGCCTACTTTATGAAACAAACAACCAACAGAAATCCCAAAATGGAAGTGAAAAGCATTATTAACATACTACAGTAAAACATGTCTAAATGCAACACCTTCTAAAACGTGTTCCACTTTGGAGGTGTTCCACATATACAAGTTCATTAAATATTCAGTTTTTGGGACTCTGAAAAGTGTTCCGCTAGCAGAGGTGTTCCACTTCTAGATGTGTTCCACTGTATTTTGCCAGTTATGGTTGACACACAGTTATTAATCATAAAACAAAATACGAGCAAATATATAGGTTTGTGGTTTGGGGCCATCATTAATTAACCAAATAGAACTCTTCCAAAATATTTCTTGACTGTCATAATTATGTCCCATGTGTGGACGGTTTATTAGAATTTGCCTATATCTTATTTTGCATTATATACAACAGGTTACGCAATAATGTTATAAAATATCCTAATTTTTACTCAAAAAGGAGATTTGCAAAGATAGAGATCATATTTTCAAAAATATTCTTAAGGGAGACCTTAAAGGTCAGTTTGATAACAGGAGCTTTCTGACATCATATAATTATTAATTTATTGTATATTCATTAATAGCCTCTTCCATAGTGTTTCAAATTATAGTCTATAGAGCTATTTAAAAAAAAGAAAAGTGAGATATTTTTGGTGCAATATCATTTGAAATTTGTGTCACTATTATCAAAGTTCACCATTTGCAATGTTAAATGAAAAATATGAAATTTTTGATAGTTTTATACATGTAGCTAAAAAATAGCAAAAGTGCACCATATAGCTCAAGAGTAAAAAAATGTATTGCTATAGTTACTGATCCATACAACAGATATTGTGGTGCATATTAATATGATAATTTAGTATTGGTCATTGCCTTTCCTGTTGTTTGTGGAAACAAATGACTGATATAACATGAATGCATAAATACTGTAAATTGCTTCAATTTTGCATCTGTTTTAATTTCCTAATTTCACCAGTTTAGAATAGGATCAATTATAAATGTTTCTAAATAATCAGTTTAACATATTTTCACACTTATCTATTCTCACAAAAATCTGCTAAATAAATACCACAAAAATAATACAGAAAATCTTCCTAAAGTAAAGGGAGTATTTAAGAGAAGTACTGTAATTAGAGCTAACAATACTTAGCAGTACCATAGTTCAGTCAAGGGGCTATATGTTTAATGTATTAGTAAACTTAATCGATGCTATTTTACACCAAGTTATGTCATATGTATATTTTTTATTGACTCTATGATGTCATTGCTACAAACTTCAATACAAAATTAAACTAAGACTAAACTAACTACTGAATAGAAAATATACAAAGTTGTAAAATACAATTACAGCATCACAAAATGTAAAATACAATATTAATCCAGTTTTTTTGAATGAATGATAAATGAATCTTGCTAGATGTAAAATTACATAAGAATTTTATGAGACATAAGTTTTTTGAAAATAAAGTCAGGACTACCAACAAAATTAAATTGTACAAGGGTGTCAAACAGAGATTTTCTTTTTGTTGTATTTTTCTTACACATCATGATAAAAAGGGTAAAATATGGCAAAATACAGAGTAATATGAGAAATACTTTCTTGTAATAATACCTGTGCAATATCCATTCTTGATTCGCTTTGAAAATGTTTCTTTATCTTGTCTTCGCTAGATAAACAAGGCACAGACGTGAACAATATCGTACCTAAAACACAGCATTGTGGTCTTGTTGACCAAGAAAGCAAGATGGCCGCAGAAAAGTTAATCAGCTCTAGAACTTATCACTGTGTAACATATGTAAAAATTTGAACGGTTTGGCTGGAAACCTGTAGACAAGTCTTGAAATTGAAGATTTTAGGACGGAAAATCCAAAATGGCCACCTTAAAATTTACCCAGAATGCCCAAAAACCAATCAGTTCTTGACGTTGATATGTAGAAACATCCCTGAAAATTTCAGATGAATCCCTCAAATGGTTTGGCTGAAAATCTGTAGACAAGTCTTGAAAGTGAAGATTTTAGGACCGAAAATCCAAAATGGCCACCTTAAAATTTAACCAGAATGCCCAAAAACTAATCAGTTCTTGACGTTGATATGTAGAAACATCCCTGAAAATTTCAGATGAATCCCTCAAAAGGTTTGGCTGGAAACCTGTAGACAAGTCTTGAAAGTAAAGATTTTAGGACGGAAAATCCAAAATGGCCACCTTAAAATTTACCCAGAATGCCCAAAAACTAATCAGTTCTTGACGTTAATATGTAGAAACATCCCTAAAAATTTCAGATGAATCCCTCAAATGGTTTGGCTGAAAACCTGTAGACAAGTCTTGAAAGTGAAGATTTTAGGACGGAAAATCCAAAATGGCCAACTTAAAATTTACCCAAAATGCCCAAAAACTAATCAGTTCTTGACGTTGATATGTAGAAACATCCCTAAAAATTTCAGATGAATCCCTCAAATGGTTTGGCTGGTAACCTGTAGACAAGTCTTGAAAGTGAAGATTTTAGGACAGAAAATCCAAAATGGCCACCTTAAAATTTACCTAGAATGCCCAAAAACTAATCAGTTCTTGACGTTGATATGTAGAAACATCCCTGAAAATTTCAGATGAATCCCTCAAATGGTTTGGCTGAAAACCTGTAGACAAGTCTTGAAAGTGAAGATTTTAGGATGGAAAATCCAAAATAGCCACCTTAAAATTTACCCAGAATGCCCAAAAACTAATCAGTTCTTGACGTTGATATGTAGAAACATCCCTGAAAATTTCAGATGAATCCCTCAAATGGTTTGGCTGAAAACCTGTAGACAAGTCTTGAAAGTGAAGATTTTAGGACGGAAAATCCAAAATGGCCACCTTAAAATTTACCCAGAATGCCCAAAAACTAATCACTTCTTGACATTGATATGTAGAAACATCCCTGAAAATTTCAGATGAATCCCTCAAATGGTTTGGCTGGAAACCTGTAGACAAGTCTTGAAAGTGAAGATTTTAGGACAGAAAATCCAAAATGGCCATCTTAACATTTAACCAGAATGCCCAAAAACTAATCAGTTCTTGACGTTGATATGTAGAAACATCCCTGAAAATTTCAGATGAATCATTCAAAAGGTTTGGCTGGAAACCTGTAGACAAGTCTTGAAAGTAAAGATTTTAGGACGGAAAATCCAAAATGGCCACCTTAAAATTTACCCAGAATGCCCAAAAACTAATCAGTTCTTGACGTTGATATGTAGAAACATCCCTGAAAATTTCAGATGAATCCCTCAAATGGTTTGGCTGAAAACCTGTAGACAAGTCTTGAAAGTGAAGATTTTAGGACGGAAAATCCAAAATGGCCACCTTAAAATTTACCCAGAATGCCCAAAAACTAATCAGTTCTTGACGTTGATATGTAGAAACATCCCTGAAAATTTCAGATGAATCCCTCAAATGGTTTGGCTGGAAACCTGTAGACAAGTCTTGAAAGTGAAGATTTTAGGATGGAAAATCCAAAATGGCCACCTTAAAATTTACCCAGAATGCCCAAAAACCAATCAGTTCTTGACGTTGATATGTAGAAACATCCCTGAAAATTTCAGATGAATCCCTCAAAAGGTTTGGCTGGAAACCTGTAGACAAGTCTTGAAAGTGAAGATTTTAGGACGAAAAATCCAAAATGGCCACCTTAAAATTTACCCAGAATGCCCAAAAACCGATCAGTTCTTGATGTGATATGTAGAAACATCCCTGAAAATTTCAGATGAATCCCTCAAATGGTTTGGCTGAAAACCTGTAGACAAGTCTTGAAAGTGAAGATTTTAGGACGGAAAATCCAAAATGGCCACCTTAAAATTTACCCAGAATGCCCAAAAACTAATCAGTTCTTGACGTTGATATGTAGAAACATCCCTGAAAATTTTCTCAAATGGTTTGGCTGGAAACCTGTAGACAAGTCTTGAAAGTGAAGATTTTATGACGGAAAATCCAAAATTGCCACCTTTAGATTTACCCAGAATGCCCAAAAACTAATCAGTTCTTGACGTTGATATGTAGAAACATCCCTGAAAATTTCAGATGAATCCCTCAAAGGGTTTGGCTGGAAACCTGTAGACAAGCTGAAAAGTGAGACGCCGCCCGCCGCCGCCCGTCAAGCTGACTACAATATCGTACCTTTTGTTAGGTACGATAATACAATATCGTACCTTTTGTTAGGTACGATAAAAAGAATTATCAAAGCTCATCAAGAACCTTCATATACATATACATATTTGTTAAGAAATAATATTGTGATTTTAAACCTCAAATAACCTTGATTCAACAAATTCAATCTCTCATGATATTATTTTTTCAGATAGAAGTCCTACACCTCATAGCCATTTTCAAGAGGAAACACATCTCAACATACAACTAAACAAACAATTACAGCATTATGATGACGAAACTTGGGATCCGTCTTCTGATCTTACTTTTTGGATTATCTACTAAAACAGTCGCAAATGCAAGTTGTGAGTTTCCCTGGTGGGTGCAACCTGAGTATCATGACCAAATTTGGGTTAGTCGGCTGTCTGAATCTTCTTATGACACAGCCGACTACTTAGCATTTGAGTTTCATGAAGATTACTTTCATGAGATGAAAGGCAAAACATCAGAGTTAATCCACTCGTATAACTGCATTCAAAAGGCATCCGTTAGAGGTGTATGGGTAAATACCACGAGTGACCATTTCATCTTATCTGTAACTATCAATGAGGATAGCCAAGCAGTAGTTAAATACACATGCTGGCGATTTTTCAGAAGGAGCCAAAGTATAATACAATTTGAACAGTCTGAGTTCGGAGATAGTCCAAATATTGATCTTTGCACGGGAAACCTAATAATGAACCCATATCCTCTGATTCGCTACTATCACAGAGAAATTGATGACAGTTTTTTAAGTGACAAGGAAATGACAAGTCCATGTCCTTTACCAGGAGGATATGTGTTCCAGTGGATGGATATGAATGGCAGAAGCAGTGATCAGGTTGACAGTTTACCCCAGGAGTGTCAGGATCGATACGCCTCTCTACAACCTGGTCTATGGCAAAGTGGCTGTGTGCAACATGATAGTAAAGCAACCATTAAGTTTGAAGCAACACCTGAATGTGTATCTAGCCTCGGGGAAAGAGTGCCCTGGTTCCAAAGACTTGGAATAAACAGCCTGGAGGTGCAATGCCTTGCTACATGGACTAAAGATAATTATACATTCTCCATAATGAAACAAAAGGATATATCATTCAGATCATATGATTTAATAAGTAAAGAAATGGTCGGATTTGCTTGTATTCGATACAACAAAACTGTGATTGGATATCCATCGACTATTGAAATATATGAAGGAACATACTGTCCTGGTGAAAATACTGTAGCTAAAGCTGATGATGTAGGCACAGATTATTTAACCTTGACATTGACAAGAAGAGAGAGAAACAAATGTGGTAGGAATGACTCTCCATTCTGCGATTCCGATGAATTCACATTGTCAAAAGGCCAATCTTCATGCAACCAGCCATCCTACAAAAGATTCTGCGAAGAAAAGTGCGATGGCTGCTTAGAGAATAAGTATGTGATGCTCCCTGGAAGCCTACTGAAAAAGTTTTCTGATTCAATGACATATTTTCAACAAGATTCCAATGCATTTAACCTGAAAGACACCTGGTTTCAATACACTGGTTCAATACAAGACATGTGTTGTTTCAGCTTATACCCAAAGAAGAACTTTGGTGGTGATATGTACTTGTTTGACGCAAGAGTTTCAAATCATTGTGATCCATATGAAATGTGTGTGAGTCTAGTGCAAAGAGGCCCTGATGTGGTCCAATTTCAGGTCTACCTACCTAAAGATGGTGATTGTACAACTGGCCCACAGGAAGATCCATCACGTATATATGACCTTAGGAACAACTTTAAGAATGTAAAGGGTGGCTGGAGAAACATGATTCGTAAAGGAAGTAATCACGAATCTGTTAACTGTAATCTTGATTTCATTTTTGATGCATCAGCATCCTTTCAGTTAAATAAAGAAAAACAGTGTAATGTGACGATAACACCATCTGGACAAAAAATAAATATATCCTTCAAAGAAGGATGTACACCACAAGTAAAATATAGTGAATTTAGATGTTTGGCCTCATTTGCTGAAACCAGAACAAATGTTGAACAAAACAAGACAATAGTTGACACTTTTATAATCACTAAGGCTAAATTACAAAATGAATTTGATTTCTACTTAACATATCAATGTTGGTATTTCTCATCACGAGATAACAATGTATTCTATTGGACACGAATTAGTGACTGCGATTTGACAACTTACGCCAAGATCCATCTTGAAGAAAAGTATCATACGTTGATGGAACCGTATGTTCCTCTCGCGACATTCCGCATCAATAAAAGATTCGTTGCAGCTTCTGGGGCAGATTATATGAGCACACAGGCAAGTCTTGTATTTGGGGTGTCCATATTCCAGATTATCAAACATTTTGTCTTTTGAGGGGGCCTCTCTCAAGGCAAACTCGTCAGGTATGGGACGAATGAGGCAGAAGCCTCACAAAATATCTAATTTAGTACTAAAATATTTTTGGAAAACTATAGTGTTTATATAACATAACAAGCCTCTATACATTCCTTTAATTTGTAAAGATGTCACTGGGATTCATGATCTAAAATTGACTATTGTTTTGAGAGTATAATAAAACATGTCTAATCCAAACTCAACTGGGACCACCCAAAATATTTCAGATTGCCAGGTGTTCACATTTCAAGGTTTTTGAACATAAAAGTTGAATGGCAGATGAAAATATGGAACCAAATAAAGCATTCACATTGAAAAATGTTCAGGTTAGAGGTGTGTTCGGATACACAAGTTTAACTGTACATAACTGACATTTTAACATATTAGAAATGTTTGACAGTAGCTTTTTATAAATTTGCATGTTTTCTAGTTTACTTACATTTTTACCAATGGATCCTCTTGTGAATTTAACATGTCACAAATTGATTTTAAAATTGAAATCATTGTAAGTTACAGCAGGGGAATAGACAGTCCAGCATTAAGTTAGTGTTATAAATGAAAATAGAATGTAGCTCATTACAGTTAAACCTGTCTAAGTGAACACCTCTCTTTTGTGAACACCTGTGTCAACTGCACACCTCTTCTCAGCAAATATTCCACTGAGTTCTGTAAATAATTGCCTATCTGAATTGAACACCTGTCCTGCCTAAAGTGAACACATTTTTGTGGCTCCATAGGTATTCACTGTACATAGGTTTTATTGCTTGCATGTTTTAAAGGTAGCAGAACCTGAGGATACATTCCAAAGTACATGATTGTATGGTACCTGTATATTGCAAGGTGTGTGATATGATTATGAGTGTAAATGTGATTTCTTCAATGATCTAACCATGGCGAAATGGATTGTCTTTTTGTATGATCTGACAATGGAGATATGGATTGTCTTTTGTATGATCTGACAATGGAGAAATGGGATTGTCTCTTTGTATGATCTGACAATGGAGAAATGGGCCGTCTCTTTGTATGATCTGACAATGGAGAAATGGATTGTCTCTTTGTATGATCTGACAATGGAGAAATGGATTGTCTCTTTGTATGATCTGACAATGGAGAAATGGGTTGTCTCTTTGTATGATCTGACAATGGAGATATGGATTGTCTCTTTGTATGATCTGACAATTGAGAAATGGGTTGTCTCTTTGTATGATCTGACAATGGAGAAATTGGTTGTCTCTTTGTATAATCTGACAATGGAGAAATGGATTGTCTCTTTGTATGATCTGACAATGGCAAAATGGGTTGTCTCTTTGTATGATCTGACAATGGAGAAATGGGTTGTCTCTTTGTATGATCTGACAATGGAGATATGGATTGTCTCTTTGTATGATCTGACAATGGAGAAATGGGTTGTCTCTTTGTATGATCTGACAATGGAGAAATTGGTTGTCTCTTTGTATAATCTGACAATGGAGAAATGGATTGTCTCTTTGTATGATCTGACAATGGCAAAATGGGTTGTCTCTTTGTATGATCTGACAATGGAGAAATGGGTTGTCTCTTTGTATGATCTGACAATGGTGAAATGGGTTGTCTCTTTGTATGATCTGACAATGGAGAAATGGATTGTCTCTTTGTATGATCTGACAATGGAGAAATGGGATTGTCTCTTTGTATGATCTGACAATGGAGAAATGGGTTGTCTCTTTGTATGATCTGGCAATAGAGATATGGATTGTCTCTTTGAATGATCTGACAATGGAGAAATGGGTTGTCTCTTTGTATGATCTGACAATGGAGAAATGGGTTGTCTCTTTGTGACAATGGAGAAATGGATTGTCTCTTTGTATGATCTGACGATGGAGAAATGGATTGTCTCTTTGTATGATCTGACGATGGAGAAAAGGATTGTCTCTTTGTATGATCTGACAATGGAGAATAGGATCGCTTCTTTCAGTATTTCAGTTTTGTGTGAATTTATCTTAGCTTTTGTTTACTGAGTTTATTCATTTTAAAAATTATATTTCAAACTAGACAATTGCAATGCCAGGATGTAGCAAATGCTATTGAGCATCTTGCAAAGAAGCAGACAAATGTATGGTTGTCATTCAAGAGAACTCAGGTATAATGAATCACTCAATTGCAACAAAAGTGGGTGTCAATTTTTGAAGGGATAATGAGTCAATGAAAATTAACAAAACAATAAATTTCCTCTGAAACATGTAAAAATGGCCACCATTTCTAAAAATGGCCACCATATTGTGTAAAAGATCAGACTGAGGAGTTTTCTATCATTTATCCAAACTTTGTTTATAGATAATTTATCCAACTTATACTCAAATTATACTCAAATGTATACCTGAACATTAGGAGTATATGTATTATAATATTGCATTCCATAATTACTCTGGTAGTCTAATAATATCATATCACAATAAAAGGTATGACAGGGAAACAAGCATTTTACTACTTCAAATATATTGATATTCAGGGCTTTTTATAAAACATTGACAAACATACTTTTAGATAAAATATTTTTATGGCAAGCTTCTCAGAAGAGACACTATAATTCTCAGGAGAGCCACCATAATTAAATTGAATGGTGCTAAATATACTATTTATGAACATTTTACTAATGTTTACCATGTGTATTTTACTAAAGCTTGGTGATTGGTGTTTGCATTCTTATACAGAATATAAAGGACGATTCTCGGTTTGGAGAACGAAGTTCATCAATCTAAATGAGCATTATCCCTGCTTCGGACAAATTTGATTTTTTTACATAATATAGATTTGAATGTCCTCTTTTGAATAGTTATAATTTAATTTGGGTAATATTTCTAGATTTTTCTAAAAAATATATTAGCGCAGTACACTGATGAACTTCTTTCCCCAAATCGAGACTTGTATTTTATTAAAATCGGTCTAATTATGCGTTATCCCTGCTTCAGACCAATTTGATATTTTTACATCTTGTAGATTTAAATGTCCTATTTTGAATATTCATAGTTTAATTTGGGTAATATTTCTATATTTTTCACGAAAAAAATATTAGCCCAGGAGACTGTTCTCCAAACCGAGAATCGTCCTTTTTACTAAAATTACTATGAGCAATATTCTGAATATTTTGCATACATGCATCTGAACAACGTGTACATTTTACAATTAAAAAACAATTTTAAAACTGGTCAAAGATGTTTAAGTATGATTTTCTGAACTATTTTGACATCAGTCACATTTTTGTGACAAAATTCTTACTTTTCATGAGTTATTTGTAACATTAATACTAGGGGTCAAACGGTTCAAAATTCCAACGGTTCGGTTCGGTCACGGTTTTTAGGTTCACGGTTCGGTTCTTTCACGGTTCTCGCGGGTCTCGTAAATTGGTAATATTTCCTTATGAAATTGTAAAGACAGCTCATAAAAAAACAGGTTTTAGCTTTTTAAATTGACTTGACAAAGCAAAGTTTATTGGCCTAGTGGCCCACTTTAAATTTTAAACTTTAGATTTTTCTGTCCTTGATAAGATTTCTGTCAGATAAGAGCTGAGATCTACATGTAGCACAAGCAGTAACATAGCCCCGGGATTCTTGTAGTCTGTCAAAGCAGCTGAATCAGCACAGATGGCGCTGCGATTGTGCGGGAGATTTAAACACAAATATGTTTCAAGTTTTTAACAAAGACATTAGTAATGTTATAATTTCTGTAATTGCAGTATTTTTTAAATAATATTGATTAAAAACTAACTCATTTTAACAGACAAAACACCTCCACGAAGCAAAATTAATTGTACTATGAATAGCGTAATCTGGCGAGACCAACTTCCGGTCTATTTATATGTCACAAAAATGTAAACAATTACTTGTCTATCGATTTGTGAGCGATCTGTTTCATATCTAAGGTAAGAATTGAATGTTCTCTATTGCTATAAACATGTTTTTAAGGAATATATACATGAAGAATAAGTTCATGTCGAACGAAAGAGAGAATATTGAAGTCTAAAAAATTTCATTTTTCAATTTTTCCTCGAACCGTGGATGAACCGAATCTCATGTTTATGAACCGAAAATACCGTCCTAGCATCATTAACCGCGGTAACCGCGGTTAACCGTTTGACCCCTAATTAATACTGTGGTGACTGGATGTGAAAAAATCGTGTACATAAAATGTTGTATAATTGGATATATTTATGCAGAATATTGTTTTTATAATTTATAATACAATCTAGAAACTATTTGTATATATTATTGCAAATCTGGTGTAAACATTATTGTCTGAATTTTTGTCAATTAAATAAATAAAATCATTTTGTAATACTTAACAATTTTGTAATGTCATTCATACATGAACTGTTTAAATTCATATGGTCAAAGAGGTTTTGTTCAAATTCAATGATATGTATTGTTCAAAATCACATGATACATATCATAATTGTTTTGATACAGAAGGGTTTGGAATGTGAACAGTAAACCGACATATTCAAATTTCTGTTAATAGATGGCAGGAGGTTGACCCATATCTAGCCCATATCAATATTGGTGGTAAACCCATATTGAAACAACCATCACTTTTCCACCATTCCTTGAAATACTTTTTGAAAGTACATATGAATGCCAAATTCTATAATTTGACCCACCCTGATAAATTAAACACACTTACTCTGATATGACTCCACAGTTAATTGTCTCTCTTTTAAAATGGTTTCGTATTCGCACAAAGTCAAAGTACGAGGGAATGAATACCATTGTGTGTGACATCACAGAGTCTGTAAATTGTGGCAGCACTTTTTTTATGAAGAATTGAAACCTGGCATCTGCGAGCTGATAGTAGCTATCACACCTGAGCTTTTGGAAAACCTAAAAAGAAATAATTCAAATCAATATATAATTTGTGGATTTCTTTTTGTTTATAGATATTAATTATAAGGTATTGTTGACACATACAGTAAAACCTTGAACGTAGAGAACACCTCAACAAGTGGAACACTATTTGGAGTATAAAAGGTGTTCCACTTTCACATTTTCAAGGTGTTGTTAATTCCATGAGATTCTTGTATTGACCCTTATGTATATGTAGGTAAACATTTGGTATTCAGGTATCATAAATAATGAGATAATGTCAACAATCATGGAATAACAAAGTGAATATCATTAATGGGGAAGGGGAAAATGAGAGATTGCAATGAAAGTTTTAAGAATATTCACAAGAAAGCCAAATCAACACTTTAGAACTTCATCAAATCAATACGGGAGGGGGAAACCAAAACAAAATTTTCCACAACTGTTGAAAATTATCAAATGTACTTCCAGTTCCAGTATATTAAAAATGGAGAGTTTGGAGTCATATAGATGGCATTTCGCTAATTTTCACCAGAAGTTGTTTTTAAAATCATTGAACTGGTTTGCCTGTACTATAGTATATATCAAGTCATAATGCAATTTTTCTCTTTCATTCTTAATACTAACATTTTTAATATCAAAATATTTTTTGTTAAGTAAATAAAATGAACTTGAGAGGTTTTTGAAATAATTCAAGAGAAATCCCATGGTTAACATACACCATGAAATCCGCCAACTTCTTCTCCACCTATTAACAGTCCTCAAAGCAGTTCTACTTTATTTTACATACCTGGGGTAGTTGTGTCACAATCTGACAGATGGAGCCTCCATTATGGTGGTGTTTCAGTGATATTTTTCCAGCATAGTCTGATAAATTGTTAAGGTTTAGCTATTGATGACATCATACAGCATGGATTAAGTACATTTAATGCCTCTATTAAAAACTTTTATCATATTACATTTGTCTTGTGGCCTAATTGCTTTGTAAACTGTTTGTTAAGGTGTAGCTATGGAAGACATCATACAACATGGATTAAGTAAGGTTTAGCTATTGAAGACATCATACAACATGGATTAAGTAAGGTGTAGCTATTGATAACATCATACAGCATGGATTAAGTAAGGTTTAGCTATTGAAGACATCATACAACATGGATTAAGTACATTAATGCCTCCATGAAAAACTTTCATCATATAACATTTGTCTTGTGGCCTAATTGCTTTGTGAACTGTTTGTTAAGGTGTAGCTATTGATGACATCATACAGCATGGATTAAGTACATTAATGCCTCCATGAAAAACTTTCATCATATTACATTTGTCTTGTGGCCTGATTGCTTTGTTTGTTAAGGTGTAGCTATTGAAGACATCATACAGCATGGATTAAGTACATTGATGCCTCCATGAAAAACTTTCATCAAATTACATTTGTCTTGTGGCCTGATTGCTTTGTTTGTTAAGGTGTAGCTATTGAAGACATCATACAGCATGGATTAAGTACATTGATGCCTCCATGAAAAACTTTCATCATATTACATTTGTCTTGTGGCCTGATTGCTTTGTGAACTGTTTGTTAAGGTGTAGCTATTGATGACATCATACAGCATGGATTAAGTACATTAATGCCTCCATGAAAAACTTTCATCATATTACATTTGTCTTGTGGACTGATTGCTTTGTGAACTGTTTGTTAAGGTGTAGCTATTGATGACATCATACAGCATGGATTAAGTACACCAATGCCTCCATGAAAAACTTTCATCATATTACATTTGCCTTGTGGCCTGATTGCTTTGTGAACTGTTTGTTAAGGTGTAGCTATTGATGACATCATACAGCATGGATTAAGTACATTGATGCCTCCATGAATAACTTCCATCATATTACATTTGTCTTGTGGCCTGATTGCTTTGTGAACTGTTTGTTAAGGTGTAGCTATTGATGACATCATACAGCATGGATTAAGTACAACAATGCCTCCATGAAAAACTTTCATCATATTACATTTGTCTTGTGGACTGAGTGCTTTTTGAACTGTCTGTTAAGGTGTAGCTATTGAAGACATCATGCAACATGGATTAAGTACATTGATGCCTCCATGAAAACCTTTCATCATATTACATTTGTTTTGTGGCCTAATTGCTTTGTGAACTGTTTGTTAAGGTGTAGCTATTGAAGACATCATACAGCATGGATTAAGTAAGGTTTAGCTATTGAAGACATCATAAAACATGGATTAAGTACATTAATGCCTCCATGAAAAACTTTCATCAAATTACATTTGTCTTGTGGCCTGATTGCTTTGTTTGTTAAGGTGTAGCTATTGAAGACATCATACAGCATGGATTAAGTACATTGATGCATCCATGAAAAACTTTCACCATATTACATTTGTCTTGTGGCCTAATTGCTTTGTGAAGGTGTTTGTTAAGGTGTAGCTATTGATGACATCATACAGCATGGATTAAGTACATGAATGCCTCCATGAAAAACTTTCACCATATTACATTTGTCTTGTGGCCTGATTGCTTTGTGAACTGTTTGTTAAGGTGTAGCTATTGAAGACATCATACAGCATGGATTAAGTACATGAATGCCTCCATGAAAAACTTTCACCATATTACATTTGTCTTGTGGCCTGATTGCTTTGTGAACTGTTTGTTAAGGTGTAGCTATTGAAGACATCATACAGCATGGATTAAGTACATGAATGCCTCCATGAAAAACTTTTATCATATTACATTTGTCTTGTGGCCTAATTGCTTTGTAAACTGTTTGTTAAAGTGCCCGATAAACTATAAAATGCGCATGCGTCCAGGTGTTGATAAACTATAAATAGCGAAAATCCAGGGTTTGTCACCACAAGGTAAGCCAGGACGTGTTGAGAGAACAGCTAGTGTTGATATTGAACTTATATGTAGCCAGATAAGTTTCCTTATTGAAATTACATATGGTTATTAGCAATACTTTGTAGGTGCTAAATAATAAAATATTTAGAGTATATATGAGAGAAATTGGTCATTTCGAACCTGTTGAAAAGTTTGTGGCTCTCGGCTACACCGGGGAATTTACTTCCATGAGTACACACATAAATGTGGGGTTCCCCAAGAGGTACGCGACAAGGTGACCTGGCATCAAATGTGCGACTAAATGCTACTATCGAGAAGATAAAATAACGAATACGACAATAAGTTATTGCATGTGACAATTCCGAGCCTTCATCTCACTGAAGTATTTTGAAGTGAAAATAGGATTTTTGTTTTGATACATGGATTCAGATGAACGTAACTTTATTCTGACAACTAATCAAAACTGAACAAAATTGATTGTACGTAACAGACAATTTATTGTTTTACAATGTTTTGATTGGCTAAACGAATGAAACCAACAAATTATGACATGTAAAATGACAATTTTGAAATGTAAAATTTAAAAGTGACAAACACAACCTCCCTATCCACTCTTTGGGAGCCCTAGTAAATTAGTAATATGTACATGCAGCAGTGGTAGTGTACAGCTTATTATCACACTACGCTTTGTATTCTAAAGCCTGTTGTTTGTAATAACACTGTTCACTCAACGTATGTTTTGTGTGTGGGCAGTCAACGATAATCATTGTTTTATCCCGGTTATATGACCTCGGCAATTATAACAGAACCGTACTAAACGAAAAAACGCAAATAAGAGAAAGCTTTCACACACATAAAAATAATGAACTAGTCTAATCCGCCAGTATAAACTCTGTGCTATACGTAGCCGGGTCAGGCGCACACTTTAAGGTGTAGCTATAGAAGACATCATACAGCATTGATTAAGTACATTAATTCCTCCATTAAAAACTTTCATCATATTACATTTGTCTTGTGGACTGATTGCTTTGTGAACTGTTTGTTTGTTGAACCGATTGTTTGGTGAAAGTTTTGTGGATGATTCTCTAAGGAGGTATTACTTGTTGTTGGATGACTTCATGAGTTGGCATTGATTGTCCATTCAGATTATAAACACATCAAGTATCTATTCTTCAATTTTATATTTATCTTATATTTCTAGAGAAAGGCTGAGGTGCCATGTCTAATGTAGTTCAAATCAAATATGCACACTCCCCTATCCCCATAGTTTAAACAATTTAAGAAATATACAGCAGTTACATTAAATACATAGTCTGGTAATATTAATTACATTTATTAAAAGGGGCAACAAGGACTCTAGTGAGAAAATTTAAGATTTTTATTTTTTCTGAGCTATCAGGTCAATATTTAGCTTAACATCTTATTTGACATACCTATTTTCTTAAATGTATGGATAAACTATCAATTTCAGCATTAAGAAGTGTAAATTCAGTTCAAAGCTTCTATAAAGGGAGTCCCACTTATAGATTTTTAAGATTCACCATGCTTCAAGAGGAATATCAGCTAAAATAATGTTCATTAAGGGAGTTTCTTTGTAGATAATAAAAATATATGATAGTCTTGATGAAATATCCAAACTTAAATATATTTTGACACTGGTCAATGATCGTTGAATGGCCCCCCTGCACCAATTGTTGCACCTTTAAGTTTTCTTTGAAAAAATTGACAACATGCTTGGAAGCATGATTATAAAGGATACTATGGCAGTGCTTGTTGAACAATCCATTCAGTTCTGGAAATACTATGCTGCTGAATACAAGTGTTTGACGGTAGAATTTAGACCTGAAAAAATAAAACAATAAAAATGATTGGAACAAGTTGGAACTACCCCTTTTCCCATCTTTTAAAAATGTTCATATGTAAAATATTTTTTCTTACTTTCAATGTAAGTTTGCTGTAGAAGGATTATTACTGCTCTGGTATATCATACACAGAACATGTCGAAGGGCAGTTCTCAAAAGTTCATAACATCTACCATGATCTATTAGCCATAATGATGGGAAAAATGTTTGCTTGGATTATACTTTCATTTATAAAAATTCTCTGGCACATTTTTGTCTGCAACAACAGAAAGTTCAGAAAACGAAACCATAGTAGTTTCATAGCCATCTCAAAATTGCTGTAGTTAAAATAGGATAAATACATATATATTGATATAAATAACATACCATCCATTGAGTGTCCACATCCTCACTCTCGAGAAATCTACACCATGTGCGTCTTTTGGTTGTAAGTGTAAATGCTCCATCAAATGCTGAAAGTAAAAAAGCTCAAGTCAACACCATGGGAGTCTTTTGGTTGTAAGTGTAAATGCTCCATCAAATGCTGAAAGTAAAAAGGCTCAAGTCAACACCATGGGAGTCTTTTGGTTGTAAGTGTAAATGCTCCATCAGATGCTCAAAGTAGAAAGTTTGAATCAACACCATGGGAGAAAGTTCAAGTAGAATGCTTGATTTTGCTTTGTATAATTGGGCTTCATCTAGTCATTCAATTTGAGCTAATCCTTTAAAGGAATATTCCTTGCCAGACCCTTTCTCTCTTGATATGGTAGCTATAATCATATATATAGTTTCCATATTTAGCAAAACATGGGAAAATGTTTTAATATGGTCAATATTGATCATTTAAAAATCTAGTGCTTATTTCCAGTGAGCTGCCATCTTTTAAGATTTCTTGCAGGAAGTGATGTCATCAACTCTCAATTTCTATAACCTTGCCCATAACAGTATAGGAAAGTAGCACAAAATCACTTCTAGACAAGTGATCATTACTTTCTGTGCAAAAATATTTTCAGGGCTTGTCAACTTAGAATAAAAGAAGAGATTTTCAGAAGGATTAAATAAGATACAAAGTTGAAAAAGAATATTTAGCTGGTTTTGTAATTCTTAATAGCTCCTCACCTAATGCTATATGCAAAGTTGAGAGTCGATGACATCACTTCCTGTGTGAAATTTTAAAAGATGGCAGCTTACTGGAATTGAGCATCACATTTCTAAGTGATCAAAGACCATATCAAAACATTTTTGCGTGTTTTGCTAAACATGGCAAGCATATATATGGTTATAGCTACCATATGAGGAGAGAGTTGGTTTGGCAAGGAATACTCCTTTAACCTAACCTTACTCAATCAGAATATAATATAATACAGTTAAAAAATAGCATTCACTGAATTTAATACGTTTATGAGTTTCAGGGATTTATATCATATTAAACATTTCATAAAAGGCCATATTTTGACCTTATCAGAATGGAAACCCTAGAAAACAAGGGCTTGTCTCAATAAAAAAACATAAAGTTGAATAGAGTATTCTAGCATTGCAAACTTTTAAACAGGTTATTGCAATTTTGTTGATGCAGTTAAACTTTGCTCTATTGTATTCACTTATATTATTGCAGCAACCATGTCATACAAAACTCTTAAAAATACATACCGGTACTATATTTTAATATCAGCTCAATGTTAACCTTTTTTATAAAGTTAAACATCATTTTAACCAAGAAAAGTGGACTAACAGATATGGAAGAAGATACAGAACAGGTTGGTTTTTTATTATTGCAAGAGACTAATATACTACATGCAAATTACAGTAAAACTTTTGTGTTGAACTTTTTTGACAAGAAAAACGCTCAGTGTTGGTAGGTGTTCACTACAGCAACATTTTAAATTCGCATCATTTTGCCATAAGTGCATATTATACATAGAAACCAGTTACTTTACAAGTTTATAGTGGGAAAAGACAGTTGAATTTGTATTTTTGTCATTCTAAATCCATTCTGTTTCTATATTCATTTGTTACAAGAGATAGAAACTATAAACACCTCTGCTTTTATGAATTGATAATTCATTGCTCATTCATATTTAATAAATAAACTGTACAATCATTTGGCAGCAATTTCGATAATTGTCATGCCAACATCAAATCCTTTTGCAAGTAACCCTTAGGACCTGTTTGCAAACTTTTATGTATCATCCCGTTAATACAGAGTAGTGGTCGGACTCGCCTGAAAATCTCCACTCGAGTGGGCCATAAAAAACCACGATTATATTCGCGATTTGACTTAGTTGAGTTACTTCCGGTTTCAGTTTCCCAAGTAGCGGCAGAATTCATCAATTTGATCAAGTCTTTCAAGTGCCTCTATACTTTTTATTATCTAAATCGTATTGCACATCCCTATAGATTGTTCAAGTTCACCCCTAGTCCCCTATAGATAGTAAAACTTACCGGATAAATAGTGAAAACAAACTTCGTCATTTTAAAATTCCCGGCTGTTGGATATTCCCAGATTGCATCAAACCGGAAATGAAACTTTTGCATAAAAATAACGAAAGCAGAATAAAATCCAAGTATGTTTGTCTTCCGCACATGGCATTAAATAGAAAATAAGTTGTATTCTATACAGATTAAGCAGAACATTACAACTATAAGCATGGAAATTGCGAATAGGAGAGACGAATCGCGAGTCAAGGTAAGGTGAAAACGAATGAAAAATATTTTTTGGTAAAAATTTCAAATCGTGAGTTCAAGTTTTCAACTCGATCAATTGATTTTTGGACAAATGCGAGTAAAACTCGAGTACACGAGTCAATCTTCCAACCACTAATACAGAGCTATGTATTTTCTACCTATGATAAGTTTTCTACAATGATAAGTTTTGACACTCTAATGATTAGTTTTTTTCATCCTTTCATTATCAAAATTTAATATAATCATTGTAATGATCCTTCAAATGGTGGAATCCTTGACAAAGTTGAGTCAATTAAAGGACTTTATTGAATCAATTAAAGGACGTGATACTGTCAGTTTAATAGGCCTATCATTTTGAGTCACAATTCTTTAACAGTTAACCAGATTGATCTATCTATCTACAAAGCAATCAAAACCAGTCATATTTCCCGTCCTATAAAAACAAAGTTTATTAAGAATACAAATTAGTCACACCTGTGTCAATAGAAATCACAACTTCGAAATTTGATTGTAACATTAACTCCAATAAGGCAGTTAGAGAAAATCTGCAAGAAATCTTAAATCTCGATTCAATGTTTTCTGGACATAGGATAATCCACATGCATTAATATGGGTGTCAATGGGAGAAAATAGTTTTGCCAGATAAAGACATTCACTGTTGATAGGGATTCACTAGAGGGACATGTTCACTGTCATTACACTGCAGGGGAAGAGGGTACAGTCCTATTCATTAGGTTTCATACATATTCTCAATTTGGAAAAATTATTGAATCATTCTACTGCTTTGTGTTTGTTACTTTTCAATATGCAGAAGGTACGGCTGGGTGATCTCCCTAGACTGTGGGTAAGGAAGATAGTGACTGCAGGCTTTGCCTCTGACTGTGATAAAGATGGCCATGTTAGTTATGAAGATTCAATGACACTGGCAGACAATATTGTAAAGCTAGGTAAGATGCTGAGATTAAGTAGCATATTGTGCTTATATGCCAGTTCTAACCAAGAATTCGTCAGCTTAAAGGTGCAATAATTAGTGCAGGGGGGGGGGGCATTCAACGATCACCGACCAGTGTCAAAATATATTTAAGTTTGGATATTTCATCAAGATTAACATTCATTTTCATTATCTTCAAAGAAATCCCCTGGATGAACATTATTTCAGCTGATATTCCTTTTGAAATGAGTTGGATGTTAAAATCTATAAGTGGTACTCCCTTTAAGAAGCTTTGAACTGAATTTACACTTCTTAATGCTGAAATTGATAGTTTATCCATACATTTTAAGAAAATAGGTACCGTATTATCTCTTTTAAACGCACACTCTCTAATAAATGCACACCCGACTTTTTGTCCCAGGTTAGAAAGTCCTGTCCAGATAATATTGAGATCTGACAGAGCTCTAATAAAAAAATATTGTGGGCGATAATAGAGTATTTTCACCGTTCGTTAAAATAATGCATCATGATTCATGACGTCACGTTTCCCATCATGCAACATGTAAGAAATTTCTTCAGGTGTTCATGTAAATAACACACAATAGTGTATTTATATACTAAATTTGTCGTCTAGGAGCTCACAATTCAAGGTAAAAACATAACATATAGCATATTCTCTCTAATAAACGCACATATCTACTATATTTGATCGATTTTAGGTATAGAAGTAAATTTTCACCCATTATCGCCCACCATCATTTTTAGAATTCCCGGGGATTTAGCTGCTTGAAACCTCTCCCCCACGAGAATTTGCTAAGCGCACTGTGCGTATAATAGAGATAATACGGTATGTCAAAGAAGATGTTAAGCCAAATATTGACCTGATAGCTCAGAAAAAAGAAAAAATCTAGAATTTTCTCTCTACAGTCCTTGTTGCCCCTTTAAATAATAATGTATGGGGAAGAATTTCATGGACTTAAAATTTGAACCAATGGTCAATGAACAATGCTTCGCAAACTTCTTCAATTCTTATCATTAAATTTCAGGTTGTTTGGAGGGTAAAGCAGCTGACAAAGTATATGAATTCTGGAAATTTGCTATAGCTGATACTGAAAAAGAAGCCCCTAATTTTCACTATGAAAAATCATTTGTAGAACAAGTAAAACATGTATGGGCCGTAGTTCACAATCCAGAAAAGATGAAGACCTGGCCTAGGTTTTGGCAAAAATACTTCCAGGTAAACATTATTCCATAAACTGAAGAGCTATTGCAGTATTTTAATATATAATATATTATTTTAATATATATTAAACAGCGTTATCTATAATGGATAGTATAGAATAAACCAAAAACTAGATAACAGAACGCTAAAGCGTAACATATCCCATCGAACAGCCATGGCTGCCATTTTTACAAAATTCTTCACTAATTTTTCCAGTTATAGCAAAAATCATTAAATAACACACATAAAAATGGCCACCATTTCTTAATGGTCACTCACTAGCCAAATTGTCATAAGATTGTGTAATATGCTTTTAAGTAGGCACAAAATCGCACACATGTACATGTAAATGGTGGCCATTTTTCAAAATGGGTGCCTACTAGACAAAGTGCCATTATTCACATATATGAACAAAATCGCTCTATTACTTTTGAGTTGTAGTGAAAAACATTACATAACACACGCTTTCGAGCAGAACTTCTACTCCCATAGGGCAAATGTGTACAAAATGTGAACAAAATTTGGCCGACGGTATTCGAGTTATTGCCTGGACATACAGAGGCATTTCCTAATTATCCCTCCAAACTTCATTGGATGGAATAGTTTCTGATTCTTAAAAGAATTGAAAAGCACAG